ATCCTGAGGGAGGTGAGCAGAGGCTGTGCAAAATAACTGGACATAGGGCATCTCTAGTTTGGTTTTCCAAGAGAACCCAGGAACACAACTCAGTGTGTCCCTGTGCTCACATTTTCTAGCACGACTCTCGGCAGAGTGTTAGAGTGGAAGCAATGGGTGAACTAGTCAAGTGACCTTTTTGCTTTGAACAAGGTCTTTGAGGTGGAGTCGCCGAACAGTTAACCTTCTAGGGTTCCTGCTATAGCACTGGGAAGGGGGTGTACTCACCCCCTTGCTCTCAGGTAGCCTTGCTAAATGCAAAACTAACATTCCAGGAGTGCTCATAGGTGCTGCCGGGCAGGGCCAGGCAGAGCTACAGCTGTGGCAAAATGTATGTAGCTAGGGTGATTAAAATAATTGTTTCCATCCAAATAATAGACTTCTAAATATTTTTTTTTTCCTTTTAAAGTAGATGTAAATACCAAGTCTTTAAAATGAAAGAAGTAAGATAGATTTCTGGAATATAAAACAAGGTGTAGTGCCTTTCAAGGGACTGTGCTTGACAGAACCTTATTTTGCTTTTGGAGAAACACTGAAAAACAATTGGTTAGCACGGGGATATCTCAGAGGAAAGAAGGAGGTTCCAGCCAGTCACTGGAACACCAGGTCAGTGCCGGAAACCTGGGGATTCTCCGAGGGTGGAGCCCACACTGTGCAGTGGACCTGGATTTCTCTTGTGCCCGGCTTGGCATCGGCCAGCGGTGAGGACAAGCGCTGGGCGAGGCAGCTCCCTGGGCTTCTGGCAATTTGCGTTGTCCATCCCTATTTGGAGTTTTCAGCAAGGGTCATCCCCAAACTGCATTTTCACATGCACATCACTTCATTGGTGTCCTCTGAGGGTTGACAGCCAGGAAGTAACAGGTATCCAGTACAGTGAGTCTAAATTCCCTTTGAAAGACAGTCCTGGCCATCAGCAAACCCAGAGAGGAAAAGGAGCAACTGCAAACGCTGCTGCCAGGCCCAGCTCTGACCGTCCAGTCCTGCCCTCCAGAGACAAGTTTGGGACTTTGCAGGTTCCGCCGATTCAGCTGACATCCTTTTCATGCAGTCTTTGAGAGTAGGAACACAAAAGGTGGCAAGCGACAGAAAGGTCCTGGATGCCAGTGGTATTGGAGGCCGGGGGAGCTTTTAGCCTTCAGTATAGACAGAGGACAGCTGGCTAGGACAGCGGTCCACAGCGCTGATCTGCAAGAATGTGGTGTCTTCAGATCCACTGCGAAGAGACTCTCCAAAGAGGCTGGAGGAGCCCGAAGGCAAATCATACACTGGAAGAGAAAGAACAGACAGGTTAGCTCCTGCCTCGCCATACCCACGGGGCTGCAGTGAGCCAGCTGTGCTCCGCTAGGCCCTTAGCAAGTCTCTGTCCTCAGGTACGGAGTGGAAGAGGAGGCTGAGGTGCAGGCAAATTGCCAAAGTAAGTCTTAGCACAAAATATGTGCCGAGCATTCGTAAAAGTGAAGTGCTCCAGGGAAGGGGAAGGGTGGTCTCAAAAAGGAGGTGATATTAACATTGAGTCAGTCGTAAAGAAGGATGGGATTCTTACAGATGGAGAGGTTACAAAAAAAGAACATTCCAGGAGAGGAAAGTGAGCAAGGACAGAGAGGGAGGGGCATGTAGGGCCACGTATGATGACAAAGCTCGGGTGTAGAGCATGTAGGGAGACGTATGTGAGGGAGGTCTGGAGAGCTTGAGCAGGCCGAACTCAGAGAGCTTTGAATGTCATGCTGAGAAGACGACACTTCTAGGCAACAGGAAACTGAGGTATTTGAGCAGAAAAGTCGCTTATTTTATCCTTCATTTTTAGAAGGTGTTGGTTACGGTAGCATGGAAGGCAGAATGGTAAAAATCAGGAGTTGCCTTAGCGAGACTTGTTGGGAGGCTGTTTGTTTCTGTAGCCTGGGAGAGACGTGATGGCCCCTGGACTAGGGTCAGGGAAGTGGGGCAGGAAAGGAAGGTGAGAGGAGAGATATCTCAGGGGTAGGTTCAACAGGATTTGATGTGGTCAGGTGCTGGGTCAGGTGTAGTCCAGCCAGTCACGGGAAACCCAACTGGTCTCTCCTGTGAGTCTGCACAAGCTTCTAAGTCACAGATACCAACACACCTGTAATGCCCGAGTGAGTTGAGAAGGCTCTGTGGAAAACGTCAAAGCCAGCCTGGCCCATGGACGTGGGGACCAGGTAGTCCTCGAAGGAAGGCACCACACTGCAGGAACTGCTAGGCGGCATGGTTCTCTGAGAATCAGGGTAATGTGGGGGGCAAAATGTCTGCAGCTGCCCATAAAATCCTGAAACGCAAGCACAGCATTGAGCTATTGCAAGGCACAACTTCCAAAGATCATTCCAACCCAGCTAGACCCTCACTCAGCCTAGCTTCCCGTGACAAAATGCCTTTAACTCTTAAGCTCACCTGTAAAACCTCTAATTAACCATTTGGAATGCACCATTGGGCAGAAGCTCTTCCACCTCCAGGGGCTTTCAAAGTTTGTTGGCTGAGGACATTTTTATTTCTGCTCTAGTACATGAAGCTGAAGGTCTTCTTACTGTCCTTAGACTCTCCAAAGAGTCCTGGACGCTGATGGCCTGACCTTCAGAGGACACACCTACCCAGGCTCTCTCACCAGATTTTGAGTGCATCTTCTTCTTTAATTTCCTTTATCCTATATTCTGTTCCTGTTTTTCACATTTGGTAAAAATCTGAAGAATTTTGTTGTTTTTTTTAACAAGGCAACATTCATCTGTCCTTCTAACAGATTCATACACATTTATATCTTCCTCATTATTTTGAATAGGTACATAAGTATCCCATAGGTTGATCACTACAATTTACTCAACTATTATTGTTGATCTTTGCAATAAATGGGAAGACTGGAAGTGAACAAATAGTATAATGAAGAAACAGGTGGAAAAGTTCTTAGTATTTGAAAATAATCATCAACATTTTGCTAATCATGTTTTATTTCTTTCTTTCAATTTTTCTTTTCTCATTTAATTGAGTTTTCTTTGGGATCCTATGTGGTCCTTTTCTATAATCCTTCACACCTTCCTTTTTCTGTTTCCTCCTTGCCTCATGATAAATTTAAGCCAATGGGTTACTTCCTTGGAGTACAATATGCTTTTAAAAATATAATAATGAAATCTTCATTCAATACTTTATTGAAATGAGAACTGTGGCTTTGCTACAAACTCCATTTCTTCAACTATAAAATGTGAATGTCACTGTCTATGTCACTGGGCTATTGTGAAGATTAAGTGAACCATTGGATAAGAACATCCATATATAATTTTAAGTGCTTTATAAATGTCAGTTATTATTGATATCACGACTCTGTTTCTGGTGGGAAAAATGAGGTATTAGTAGAGGAAGTGCCCCAGGGTTCCTTCCACAAACATTCAACGATGGAGAACACAGAACCAATCTATGAACTTTGGGCCCTAGTGTTGTGTGCCTTCCTCCACTAGAACTGCCTCTTCTTAAGAGGCTTTATGTCTGGTTAAAGAAACTGGAGCTATCAACAGAGAGGGGAGGTGGTATTTGGGCTCTTTTTAACACTCTTTAAATACAAGCAGGGAGCATTGACATATCCAGCCTACAATGCTAACAACTCTTCTCATTTCTGATTGGTACCTCGAGTATAACTGCTTATATTACCCTTGGCTGGGAGGCCTGTTCTATGGTTACTAGGAACATCACCAAAGAATAGGTGCTGAACTGCTCATACAGACACAGGCTGGCCCTCTGGGAGCTTATGATCCAAGACAGAGGGATCAATGCAGATTTATGCACAGAGCACACTCATAGTAGAAAACAAAATAACATCCTTTATAAGCAGGCGGTTGTATAATTTATATAGAATCAAGAAAACATCCACATAAGGTTTGGGGGGGAACATTAAGTGCATGTTAGCAGTATAGACTAGGAAAATACCTAAGAAAACTCCATGCCAAGGCTGGAGAAGAAAGAATGAAAAATCGGGTCTTTGCTTTCTGATACTCAAAGGCTTCTATCAACTCTTAATAGACAGACAGGCAAAGGATCCAAACAGACCTCTCAAATACTCATATAACTGATCAACCAATATGATCAAACTGTCAATCCTCTAGCCATCAAAAACATAAAAATCAAGATAATGATAAAATACCATATCTTACCTATCACTTTAGTAAAGATTTCTAAAAATCATTCTCAATGCTGAAGTGACACTGGGGAAGAAGTCACTTCTGCATAGTGCTGCAGACGTGATAAAAGAGTATAAGCCCTTTGGAAAACAATTTGACAAACTATCTAGAATCCTAACAGTGTTCACACTCTTGGACATGGGCATTTTACTTATGAGAATGTATAATAAAAGCGTATTTCAAAGAACAGAAGAAATTCTGCAGTCATCACACAGTTGTCATAAGAGAAAAACTGAAGAATCAAAATGGTAACTACGAGAGAATGGTTAAGCAAACAGTGGTACACTTACATGATGAGAATATTAAGTAGCCATTAAAACAATATTTATAAGGAATTTTTAACAGTGTGGAAAGACTATTATAGGGTTCGGTTGAAGAAAAAACAAAAACCCGATACAAAACTGAATATGGAGATGAGGCTCATTTATGTGGAAGTTGATGTATAGGATAGGTTGCGAGGCAATATATCTATAGCTGTCTTTGGGTTTCTTTTTTTTTTTTTGGCTTTATGTTTTTCTGAATTTTAATAGTTGTGAAGAGCTAGCACTCTGGAGCCAGGCTTCCTGGGTTCAAATCCTAGTTCAACTACTTAGTAATTCTGTAGTCCTGGTGAATTACTTAGCCTCTCGGTGTTTTTTTGTTTTCTAATCTGTAAAATGGGGGTTGAAAGTAGTACCTATACCTGAGTAATTATGAAAATTAGATGAATTAATATTTACATATTATATAATAAAACCTAATGATATAATTAATCATATAATAATTATGCAATATGCATTTTAATAATGTGATTTATATAATATACATGTGTTTGCTAAATAAGGAAAATAAAAAAGTACAATTACTTCACAATAATGTAGTTCTCAAAAATAAAATAATGTTTATTAAGAGAAATAGAGTTTTCAAAAAAGCAGTAGGTCCTTCAGTGATAACCTGAGGTAAGGATGAAGCAAGCAGTGGGCACGTGGCTCACTTACAGTTCCCGGGTGGGATTCTCTGAAACATTCTTGGGGACCTACCTGAGCCATAGACCTTTTGCTCATGTTGGTTCCTAGATCCTGCACTAATTGATACGTGCCCTGATTTCTTCACTCACCCAGTGCAGGCTCAAAACAGCAGTAAGTTTGAGTGGTTTGAAGGACCTGGGATGTGTAGCATCATGGTTTGAGAGGTTCCTCAAACTGATCATAACTTTGGGTACCTGTGGGTAACTGGTGGTAAAGCACATGTAATCACAGCATACTCCTCAGGAAGAAAACATTCCCATGAAACATCATGGTGGGTTTATTAGAATGCCATGTCTCCTCACTGAGCAAAACAGACAATATTTGCTATTTATCCCTATGCCTGCTCTGCTCAAATTTGTCACCAATAAATTCCCCAATAGCATTCCTCAGTGTAGTATTACCTTTTCAAGAGGAGAAGACATTTTTCACTAAACTCCCACATCTTGCCAAATAGGGACATTAATCATTCAGGGGTGTCAGGTACAGTGATAGAGACTTTCACTGGCCTTTAGTGAAAAACAATTCATTCTCTCTTCTCTGTCTTCTCTTATGCTTCTAAGAGAGAGCCGAAATGTCATATGGCTTCAATCTACATCTGAGTGTTGCGATGTGTAAGAGTACAAAAGGTTTGTGATGCAGTGATATACACCCGGTGAAGAAAATATTAAACCCAATTTTCTGGGCTCCATTTCCCAGTTTCTCTTGTCCGTGTAGATCTGAGTGAGAGGGCAGAGTGGACTGTAATTCCTGCCTGTGGGTGACTTGGCTGACATGAGAAACAGTTGAAACCAGAATGGCCCCGCAAGCATGTTTTATCACTCTCACAGCCAACTAAGGGAAAGAAAATCTTCTTTATTAAATCCCTCCCTCCAAGAAGCCAATTACTAGAGATGCCAAATACACTGGTGTGGATGACTGTGGTCACTCAAATCAAAGAGCTTTAACATATCCTCTTCCCAGTGCTAGTTCCATAAACCTAGTGAAAATTTAAAAAATTCCATTAGGGTCTTGCCATACACACAAACCCAGAGAAAGCCTAAGTCATTTTTTGATGAATGGCTCCTGTATTCCAGCTGTTGGATTTCACATAGTAAATTTGGAAGGAATACTACCTCTCGAACCCAAAGCAAAATGATGGAAGATGTTAACACATTTTGTGAGCATAAAACCTAAGAGTGATGGCAAGGTCAGCCAATCTGTCAGTCAGTCAGTCCGTGGTAGTTATCAAGCGCTGCTCAGGGTGCTGATGGAAAGACTAAAGAAACCGGAGATAATACTTGTCCTTGAAGACTGATTATGCAGTTGGAGCAAGCACACATACATTTATAATAGCAGAGGAATGCACACGTAAATTTATGTTGGTCATAAATGTTAGTTGTCCCATTTAGTTATAAAATCATCCCTCCCCCATTTTAGAAGTTATTTTACCTCCATGGAGTAGGGGTGAGTGGGGGTGGAGAGGAATTTGCACATCAACTGATTATACCCAAGTTGCAGCTCCTGAAGGTTAAGGAGAATCATTCCTCCTCTTGTCAATGTTAGGAAGTTTTTTTTTCCTTCTTAAAACAAACCTGTTTTTCTAATTATAAAAAGTATTTGGAATTAATTATACCAACTAAAGAATGTAGAACAGTATAAACAAAGAAAGAAAAAAATTATCTTTATTTCCACAATTCAGATCTGGCCAGATATATACACACAAAACGGAAATGTTATGCATATTGTTTTGTACCCTGTTTGCTCCCCTAATAAATATCATCTACGAGCTTCACATTCTATTGAAACTCACTCTTAATATCCCGTCCTCTTTACTTTGTTACATGGGGTCACTGATGTCTCTGTGATGACAGGAATTCACGGTCACTCTTGCAGCTAATGATAAAGCAGCCTCATGAATCTGGGTGTGGATTTCCTACCCCAAGTGGAAGGGGAGAGGAGGAAGCTGGAGGAGAAGGAACTGTGTGACTGTGATAATAGAAAGGTGGTCTCCAGGGCAGCACCATCCAATAGACCTTTCTGGGTTGATGGAAATGATCTATAGCTCGCTGTCCAATACAGTAGCTGCATGTGGTTACTGAGCATTTGAATTGTGTCTAGTGTGA